TGTAAATAATTAAAAATTATTCAAACGAATTGAAAGCATTTGTTAGTATTATTTTAATATGGCAAAATTCTATGTTGTTAATTTGTAATTTTAAAACACTGAAAAATATTCATTGCAATAATGCACCAAAGAGATCAATTTCAATTGCATTGTACGCCACCTGGAAACAGACTTTGTATCTAAATAATTATTCACTAGCTAACATCTACCTAGCCTATCGCCATTTCAGAATAAAAATTTGTTTTAAGAGCAATTGACATTTGTTAGCTTCACTCTTATTTATACTATTACTTATTTGAGATAAAATTGTGATCCAAATAGTGAATTGAAAAATGGGCGAAGATTACAATGGAGGTAAGCATTCTAAAGGTCTCTGAATGTACTGTGCTTTTCGTCATTGTTCCCGCGTTACAGCCAGGTAAATAAGTCGGGTGATTGTAATGGCCGGAGAAACATACTCGTGAAAGTGGTAAACATACCTAAGAGTATTTCTTTTTTGTATTTGTTTTTGAGAAAAATCTTAAATCGCAAAACGTTTTAGTTGATTTCAACGTAAATAAAATAACATCCGAATATCTTTCACAAGGTATTGTGAATTTATCGATAACCTGAAAATAAGCATCAACGAAGATCGTTCTTATGGGTACATTTTTCATTATATATATGAAGAATATTATATTACTTTAATGACTATATATAAGTTCATTAACTTTTTTTAAAACTTATGTTACTTATTTTTTATATATTAGATTGTATTTTTAAAACTGATTTTTAGGATTATAATCTTGATCTTTGAGGTTTAGGTAATGAATGCATATAGTGTATATATATTACAAGTAATGTATATAGTTAGTAGCTGGAGTTATTCATATATGCATGGAATTGTAAAAAGATTTAATATGCATGCAGAAATTATAAAATTATCAAATACATATTTTTAAATATGAATATATTATAAAATACTAAAACATAAATGCAGATTTTATAATTACATTCTATTATTATTGTATTATTAATAAAACATTGCTTAATATTTATATATATTTATTTGTGCATATATTTTTAATAGATCGGGATCGCCAAGACCGTGATAAGGATCGGGATAGGGACAGAGATCGTGATAGGAGGCACAGATCGCGTAGCAGGGATCGCAGGAAACGTTCACGTTCACGTTCTAAAGACCGAAGAGATCGGAAAAGAAGTAGCTCACCTAAAAAGAGTCGTAGTTCTAGAAGAAGGAAGCCATCTCTTTATTGGGATGTTCCACCACCTGGATTTGAACATATTACTCCTTTGCAAGTAAATATTTTGAATTTCATTAAATTATGTTTAAAGTAAATTAAATTTGTTGAAGATTACTATTTAATTTTAATTTTAATTATAATAGTATAAAGCTATGCAAGCTGCAGGACAAATACCTGCAAACATTGTAGCAGATACACCACAAGCAGCTGTACCAGTCGTTGGTAGTACAATAACCCGACAAGCAAGGAGACTTTATGTAGGAAACATTCCATTTGGTGTGACAGAAGAAGAAATGATGGAATTCTTCAATCAACAAATGCATCTATCTGGTCTTGCTCAGGCTGCTGGAAATCCAGTATTAGCATGTCAGATCAATTTAGATAAAAACTTTGCTTTCTTAGAGGTACAACTAAATTTACTTGAAAATATGGTTCTGTAATTTCTAACTTTCAGTTACATGACAAAATATTCATAAAACTATTTTTTAGTTCCGTTCAATAGATGAAACAACACAAGCTATGGCATTTGATGGTATCAACTTCAAAGGACAGAGCTTAAAAATAAGAAGACCACATGATTATCAGCCAATGCCAGGAATGACTGATAATCCAAGCATGAACGTACCAGGTACGGTTCCCGGTATGTTTTATACATACTTTTTATATTTTTATATATACTTAAAAAATTTATTTTTGATATTACATAAAATGTAATCCAATGTTTTACTATTATAGATTCCCCTCACAAGATCTTCATTGGTGGTTTACCCAATTATTTGAACGAGGAACAGGTATGCAAACAAGTCTATAACACAGTTTTGTTTATTGCACACCTTTGGAAGCAGTTCTTGTTCACTGATGCCTATATTTATTAAAATCAGTTTCAATATAACAATGCTGTAGGATTACTTTGAACATATGCTAGTTCTCAGCATTGTCAGTTATACCAAAGGATTAAATTATAACATAGGTATTTAGCTATTTAGCGGAGATCAAACTTACGAAGATGTGTCAACTACCCAAATGCCATAGAGGTATGTATGTGTATCCATTGGATTTCAGCGTTGACTAGGTTTTATTTAGCTAGCTGACTCAGATTTCGATTCCAATTCCAATTATCTGTTTGGTGAAGTCTAAGGGCAATGTAGAAACTCGTCTCTCGCATTTCTTCTCGAAGCACCATTATTAGATAGTGGATAGGGAAATGGTTAGAGGCGTTGCAGCATTCAGGTGGCATGCAGTCGCAGCAGTCGCTTTTCTTTTACAGTCTTTCTAGGAACATCGTGGACCCAGCCAAGGGAATACGAAATTTTTCAATCAATGACTGAAAAGGGAGGGGTAGAAGGGGAGAAGAGGAATAGTTATACTTAATACAATCACGTTGTTAGGTGAAAATCTCTTCAAAAATAAAGGTTCTTCACGTTTTTACATCTGAAACTCTTGCAGAATGAATCTGCTTTCATACAGTGGTGTTATATGCAAAAAGATTTTTTAGGACTACAACAGATGAATCAATATTTTATCTAGTACATCAGTTTTTTGTTTTTTTTTTTCTTGATGGGATTACAGGGTCAACACATAATCTTATGTGCATCTGGTAACAGCTCCAAGTCTTTTGGCACCTATTCTTTTCAGGAGTATCTTTTCTCTTGCAGCTGTTTTCTTTACAGGCTTTTACAGGCTTTACAGCTCTTCGTCCTTGTGCCTTGTTACGTTTACAGGTTACGCGAACGAACCTATGTGTTCGAGTATCAGTAATGTGCATTAATACAAAGACAAAGTGCAAAGAGAAAGTAAGAAAAATAAAAGTCGGTAAATGTGAACATTAAACGCCGAAAAAGTTAATACTGTGATATTACAGTGGTACATTGTTGAAATAATACAATCAAAAAAGTATAACCATTTGGTTATTATATAGTAACTGTGGACTGATACCAGTGCCCTTTCTCCCCATTTCTTAGCTTAGGGTTGCGCCGATCAAAAGCATTTGCTTACCACTACCACTACTTCTACCACTACTTCTACCACTACTACTACTACTGAACATGACAAAATACCACACTGCCTGGAGAGAGGCTAGCCCAGTCCCTCGAGGCAAGTACTTATATCATTTTCATGCCTTCGTATTGGGCTTATGCGACTTTTGCAGCCCCCTTTCTGAAGATCTCGGTTCTTCTATACAAATGGTGCGTTTTCTAATTGGATAGATTTTCATTGATAATAGCGTGTTGTTGCTCACAAAAATATTAATGATATAATAGGGAACATTGATTGATATGTAGTACTTCTTATGGACTCTTAATAGAAGTTTGAAACTTCTACAATTATCTGAAGCAATAGTTTAGTCTTCTGAATAGTAACAATATCCAAATACATACAGTGGCTATGGAAAGTGTTTTTATGCATATATTTGAAATTTTTAACAAATGAAGTATGTACATTAGATTAAACCTTTTAAAGTAATATTACAAACAGAGTAAAAGTCAAGTGTCAGGATGGTATAAGTAAAATTTAAAAATAATGCGATTATGTATATAGTACTTATACAACATTTATTCCAAACATATGTTTGAAAGATCATAAAAAATATTCAGTTACTTAGAAGTAAAGAATATGTATAATTGATTTCTAAAATAGATGTAAACATTAATGAACTTGATGTTGAGATATCGTTTAAGGAGTTTTGTGTAATAATTATGTATAATTATCGAAGTGTAGTAACCATAAGTACGAAAATGTCGGAAACAGAGAAGTGTGAACAAGAATTAATATTAAAATTTCATAAACAGGGAAAACAGAGATGGTTCCATTATAGTTTGAATTACATAAAAGCTAGTCGCAGTGAAAATTTCGTACTTATCAACGAAATTTTAAGTAAATATAAGTATTTACATATTTGAAAAGAAGACATTAAAATAAATGCAAGAAAAATAGACTTATTGCAATATTTTTACTTGTGTATTTTACATACTCTACATTTTAGACACTCCATTATAATATTAATCTTATTGAATATTTATAGTCTGAAATAAGAAAAAAATTAAATAATTATGAGATAAAGTAAAAAGTTATTAAAACTTATAAAAACATGGAATTTTATTAATAAAATGGTGTCACTAAACAATTAATACACAATATAGAACATTGACTTAGGAATGTTATTATTACCAAA